TTTAATAAGTAATCAATTTAATAAGTAATCATCGTTTAAAATCCCATCAAATTGGGTTAATTAAAGTCAAAGTGGTTTTTGACTTTAACAATGGTTTATTTTCGGGTGTATTTAGAATCCGCCGATTGGATTTACTAGGGTGTAGGGGAAAGGCATATAAGTCGTCTGGTAACGGAAACGAAGAAGAAGATAGGATGCGACAGTTTGTATTAATTGAATAGGGTTATTTAAAACGAACTTACAACTTTGGTTCCTGAACTTTACTCTTATTGAATAACCAAGTCTAATTTTTCTGTACATTCTTTATTTAATCCTCCATAATTTGCATCTAACCCACTTTAACTTTTATGGAATCATATTTGACTCTTTTTATTAATTTAACTTACATCTTGGTTTCCTTTTATTAGATTTAACATCGTTTAATTAATTTAAATGTTACATGACGTCATGACCCCTTTCTCTTTTAATCCTAACTTATTTATTCTTTATTTATTTTATTTTTTAATATTTTTTTAAATAAATCTCACATTAGTTAAATGGATTTAATACATTTTAATTATTAATTAAATCCTATAAATTATGTAAATCTCAATTAAATCTTTAAAATTTCAAATTAATCTTCTTTTGTTCATTTTCTTTTATACTAAGCACATAATCCTATATAACATTGGACTAACTAACGAAAAGAATTTGGGTCGTTATATCCGCCGTTTATCAGCATAACTCTTTTGTCGGTCTCGCGATGCTTGGAGTCGTGCCTTGATTTGATTTATTTTCTACGTCGTTTACCGAATGATCTCGGGTCCTATAAGAGTGCTATTTGGTGTTTGTCCCCTTGCCAACTGGGTTTCTCCCACCTCAGCCTAGCAAAGAGGCGATCTGCATTTGTGACCATACAAAGCCTCAAAAGGAGCAACCTTAATGTTGATGTGATACCTGTTATTGTATGAGAACTCGATTAAGGTCAAGTAGGTATCCCATGCCCTAAAGAAATCAATCATACAGGCTCGGAGCATATCTTCAAGCGTTTGGATGGTTCGCTCGCTTTGGCCGTCGGTTTGAGAGTGGTAAGCAATGCTCATGTCTAGTTGTGTTCCCATTGCCTTCTGGAGCGACTGCCAAAATCGTGAAATAATCTACTATCTCAATCCGAGATAATAGATATCGGCACTCCATAGAGTCTCACAATTTCTTTTATATAGATTCGTGTTAGCCTCTCCATTTTGTACATCTCCCTTATTGGTAAGAAATGGGCGGATTTTGTTAGCCTATTGACAATCACCCGGAAAGTGTCCAATCCGTCCACTGTCTTAGGTAATTTGGTTATGAAATCAATGGTGATCCTTTCCCATTTCCACTCGGGTATTAATGACTGTTGTAACATTCCCGATGGCTTCTGATATTTCACTTTAACATTGGTAAAAGTGAGACACTTGCCGACGTAAGTGGCAACTTATGCTTTCATGTTGGGCCACCAATAATGTTGTTTAATGTCCAGGTAAATCTTCGGAATCTAGATGGAAGGAGTATCGTGTTTTGTGCGCTTCGTTCATGACCATGTCCTTGAATCCTCCAAATTTTGGGATCCAGATACTTTCCATGAAGTAATAAGCTCCATTTCCCTTGACTTCCATATTCTTATCCATCTCGCACAGTGTTTCATTAGTGGCATTTTCTGGCTTTAATGCCTCTAATTGAGCTTCCCTGATTTGTGTGGTTAGATGAGAGTGGATGGTTATTGATCATGTTTTCACCTGGCGACCTGAGTATTCTTTCCTGCTTAGGGTATCGGTTACCACGTTAGCCTTTCCTCAGTGGTACTTGATCTCACATTTATAATAATTTAGCAGCTCAACCTACCTTCGCTACCTCATGTTCAGTTCCTTTTTATTTAGAATGTGCTGGAGGCTTTTATGGTCCGTAAAGATGGTGTACTTTGTACCATAGAGGTAGTGCCTCCAAATCTTTAGGGTGAAGACCACTGCTCCAGCTCGAGATCATGGGTGGTGTAATTTACCTCGTGGGTCTTTAACTGTCTAGACGCATATGCAATCACTTTTCTACGCTGCATCAGCACACAACCTAGCCCTTGGTTCGAGGCATCATAATACACCACGAAGTCTTCTATTCCCTCCGATAAAGACAATGTCGGACCACTACAGAGGGCTCGCTTCAAGGTTTGGAAAGTAGCTTCTTGTTTGTCCGTCCAGTTGAAGGGTACGCCTTTTTGTGTTAGAGTTGTGATGGGTTTGGCTATCTTGGAGAAGTTCTGAATAAACCTTCGGTAGTATCCTGCAAGACCCAAGAATTGTCGGATTTTTGTTGGTGTGTTCGGAATCGTCTAGCCTTCAATAGCCTTGATTTTGGAAGGATTCACATAAATTCCTTCCTCACTGACTACATGACCCACGAAGTTTACACTGCAAATCTAGAATTCGCATTTGGAGAATTTTTCATATAGCTTCTCGGCTCTCAGAGTTTCCAAGATCTGGTATAGGTGTTGACTGTGCTCCTCCTTACTTCGAGAGTATATGAGTATATCATCAATGAAGACGATTACAAAATTATCGAGGAATGGGTGGCAGACTCGATTCATGAGGTCCATAAATGTTCCGGTTTTTCCGATTCTAAACACACTTTATCCGATTCGAACCCACCCGCTTTGATGTTTCCAAGTTTTCCGGTTCTAGACCCACTTTACCCGGTACTATACCTGGAACCGAACCAGAACCGGTTCCTACATACCGGTCCGGTTTCCGGTTCTTCAAAACCTCATTAACCGGTTTCATGTTTTCCGGGTCCGGGTCCACCCGATCCGGGTTTGGACCCACTTTCATCCCTAATACACATACACATATTTATATGATTGCACGCATATTTAGAAAATATAGTGTTCTTTCTATCGTTAAAATTTACCTCAAACATATTGGAATTTTAATTCATTTCTGAAATGCATTGCCAGTAATAGAAATCATTTCAAAATCAATAGTTCTAGGTTTCGCGATTAATTGATTCAGATTCTATAGATTTTACGAATCTGATTTTGATCGAGATTAAAAATTTGATAAAAATAAAATAAAATAATATACCATAATCTGAGTTCAAAAGCGTGCTCAAAAGTGAATTACAAGGTTTGTAGCTATCCCAAACGATGCAGTTTACAGTTCATTTTACGAAAATCAGATAAATACTTGTTTTATAACTTAAGATAGACATAACTTGCCCATACGATCTCTGTTTTGGATGTTTTTTATATCCACGGAATCAGGAGAACATAATTTTTTTTTCAAATTTCTTATTCATAGCTCTCAAATATACTTAATGCAAAATTTTATTTTAACATCACAAGTATAATTAGTTTTTGATGATTTTCGATCCGATCTTCAACGACAGATGGTTTGAACAGTTTGAGACATTCTGAAAGTAATCATGATTATAATTTCTGTAATATACGTCATAAACATATAATTACACACAATTGGTCCTTAATGAAAAGCAGCTCGCGGTGGTTTGACCGCCAAACGCTGACCAAAGTTTATCGATTGTTACAAGACATTTACATGAAAATACCATAGGGTTTTTCAAGAAAAGAAGAGACGCGAGTACACAAGTTAAGAAAGTCTTTGTATGGTTTACAACAAGCTTCAAGAAATTGGTATAAAAAATTTACAGAAGTTCTACTTGATCTTGATTTAAGACAGTCACCTGATGATCACTCTTTGTTTGTATATAAGCAAGGGAAATCATTTGTTATTACATTAATATATGTTGATGATGTCATTATTGTGTGTAATGATGATACAAAGATACAAAGTACCAAAAGGCATTTAGATGAAAAGTTTGGTATCAATGATCTTAGGGTATTAAAATATTTTTTGGGAATCGAGGTGACACGTACTATAGATGGTTTTGTATTAACTCAACGACAATATACATTTGTGGTTTACAAGGTTGTCATCCTAGTTTGTTTCCTATGGAACCAAAATCAAAGCTGGAACATGATGACAAAAGTCCAAATATGGATTCCAGTCGCTATCGTAGACTCATGGGAAGGTTACTTTATCTCCAAGCTACCATACCAGATATAGCTTATGCAGTTAATGTTCTTAGTCAGTTTGTGTCAGATGCTCGCCAAAACCATATGGATGCAGATCGTGTTCTTTGTTATCTAAAAGCCATACATAGACAAGGCATTTTACTTCTAAAGGCAAGAGGTCTGAACCTTGTTGCGTATTGTTATGCAGACTAGCTTGGGTGTCCTTATACTTGATGTTCCAGGACGGACTATTTGGATGCGTTGGCTCTTAAAGGAACTTGAAGCACCACGTACTCGCCCTACCACTTTGTTTTGTGATAATCAAGTTTCTTGCCATATTTCTAACAATCCAATGTTTCACAAACATACTAAATAAGTTGAAATTGATTGTTTTTTTTGTTAGAGAAAGAGTGGATTCTTAAGAAACTGTGACTCGGCATGTCAAGACTGACGACCAACTTGTTGATCTCCTCACAAAAGCGTTAAGTGCCAAGCGTATGCATTTTTTACTTTACAAGCTTGACATTCGTAACCTTCATGCACCACTTAAGGGGGAGTAAAGAAAACCGATAATATTTTCTGCCTTGCTTGTCATCCAAGATTCATTGGCCTTTATGTATTCCTACTTTATCTAGTTTTAGTTTCCTAGTTTATATATTCCTAGTTTTTCTGTTTTATTCTCTTGTATTTAAACCCTTGAGGTCATTGAAATTATCAAGCTATTAGATCATCAAAATATTTACTGTTATGGTATTTTTTTGACTTGCTTCCTATAAATATAGATATTTGCTAAATACATAATTACAAAAAGATAACATAGAAGAAGATGAATACGTACAAGTAATCAAAAAACAAACAATATTTTAGTATCACTTTTAGTCTTTTATTCTTTATTACACCAAAAAGATGCATATATGTGTATTTATATGTTATCTATATATAAATCACCAGCATATCAAGTTCACTAGTAAGGAGATTGGCCAATGATGTTTCCACGAGGATAATAGCTGCAAATAACGAACCACCAATTATTATTAGTGCATTGAACCCTCGCACACCCAAGTTGATTAGAATTACGCCACACCACTTGAGTATAGTGTCCACAAACGTGTCCACTAGCACAAGTCTTTGTGGCATAATCATAATAAGTCTTCTCGGCTACCCATAAATTCACTGCTGCAGTTCCTGTGAAGTTACCACTACCTATAGCAAGGTTCTCACCATAAGGTCCACCAGAATGGACAAGATTGCAGTCTGTTTTCCTCTGGTTAGCATAGTTTTCAGCATAGGTAGCCAGAGTGGCATTCCATATGATGTCAGCGACACCCACCGGAGTACGCGCTGCATCATTGTGAGCATCTAAGTAATTTTGTTGGGAGTTTTGGGCATTGATGGTGTGAAGAATTGCTAGGGTAAAGAAACAAACAAGTGTAAATGAGAGTTTAAATGACTCCATAATTGTAGTTACTTTGTTGGATAATTGATGTTCGATGATGGAGGGACATGAAATACAAAACGGTATTTATAGGATGTTATGTGATATTGGGATGACCATTTGACATGTGCAAAGGTGAATAAGTTAAGCATGCAAATCTAAGCAAAGTCGCCAAAACTTCCCCTTTGGACATAGAGACCTTTGCTTCAAATCTTGAAATTACACAAGTGGCGTTAATGTCTTAAAATAATCACAAATTAAACCCCCATTTGGGCTTACGCCATCCAATACCCAATAAAAATGAAACAAGTGGCAACTATATTTAGATTCGACTGAATTAATGCTTTTGGGTACGTATCGTAACATAAGATATCTTATATAAAATATTGCATTTGTTTTGTATAGATTTTGTGTATGTTTCTTGGATGCATTTGGTTCTTGTTGTTTTCTATTATCCGTGCATAATAATGCCTTCGGTATAGTTTGTGCAAAATGTATGCATAAGATAATTGATAAAAGTTAAAGTGTCAAACTTTCAGGTTGAATCAAACTTTTGTTGGACTGGTCAGTTAAATTTTTTTTTTCTGTTTTTCAGTTTCATATATAAATAATATACAAAATATAATATTTTTATAAAGGGATTTAATTTGAAGGGACTATATATGAACAAACACCGATGCACATTATGTGACTTTATAAACTTCTCGGCCTATTTTTATCGACCTTTTAGCCAAAAATGAAGTGTTCAAATCTTCTTATATGAAAGGTAGATGTAAACCTAGAATGATGATAATTGTTCCAACAAAAACTATTATTTCATTTTAATTATCAACCTATATATATTGCAGTAATCTGTGAGTGCAAGTTCTTCCTGTGTATTTTTTATTTAGTAAAAATGTTTTTGATATAAATATAACCATTATGTATGTAGAACTTCCATCGAATCATAAACGAAATATAGAATATACATGAATAATATATATAATAAGATGCATAGAGTGTACCAAAAGGATACATTTCGGTTGATCATCATTAACAATTTAGGTAATTCGTGTCAAATATGTTGATGTCATGTTGCTACATATGTAACTTGTACAAAAAGAATTTGTAATTTGATGGATGATGGAAAGACCTTTTATTTAATTTTTATAGCCTATTTTGATATAATAAAGTATGTTCATATTTTTCCTAAGATTAAATAATAAATTCAGAACTTGAACACTGACAGCGCTCATTTACTAGAGAATTCTCCACAAACCAGGTCATGGCAATGTAACGTCACCGTTTGAATGTCAATTAGTTATCAAAGTTTGGCCAAGACAAGTAGATTGACATAAAATATAAGTAATAATAAATATATAGTTTAGAAATAGGATTTAAAGTATATATGAGTTAGTTGTTATAAAAAAGAAAAATCATATATGCTTCTATTTTTTTCTCCTACCATCTTCCTATACATTTAAGATTTTGACACCTATGATATTAAATAAAATTAATAAATTTATATTACACTTCTCATCATCTAAAAGTGGTAGAACAACGATGGATAGAAAGAATAAATACGAGAATATTTAATTTCTCTATAAATATGTTTTAAAAGAAAGTGTAATTTGGTTCCTTGTAAACCCATGTAAGTTCTAAAAAAGTTTGTTTCAATAATCTTTAGAGGAAACTTGATTAAACTTAGTTGATACCTACATAATTCCATAAATAAAAAATATACAGTAAATGTACATTCGTTTTTTGTTTTGTGATTACTTGGAGATAGTTTTCACAACGAGAAAAACGTTAATTTTTTTTATAAGGGATGATACCAAAAACTGTATGGCCAACTTTTCAAAATTCTTTAAAAAAAATAAAAACATTTTGATTCTTCAAATGAGAACATATACAACATGCATTTGGGTTTGAAAATATCCTAAAAAAGGGTAAAATTTAGCATTTTAATTTTTTTTCAACTAATGGTCTACTCAGTCGGCATGCTACGTGTCATGTCACATCAACTCGTATCACTTATTTGAAAAAATCGGATTGTTTGAAAGGAAAATAGAAGGGGATGTATTCGAACCAATGACCTCCCGTAGACAACTGACGCCTCTTAACTCTAAGCTAAAAGGATCTTGTTGTATTCCTTGTTAAACATACGTATATAATATATTAGTTCTTCACCTTTAAAAAAGAAAAAGAAGAGAGGAGAGAGCAATCTCTGTCCCAAATGAACCTCTTAGCCAATTGAGCTACAACCTACTATTATTATTATTATTATTATAAAAGAGTGTTCCCTGAGGAACAGTTCTCTTTTCCAATTTGTTGATTTGTTTTTTGTCTTGTTCATGTTCATCTACTATTATTTCTTTCATAAATTTTGCTCTTTATTAGAGATAGACTTTCCATGTGGTATGTTCAGGGTAGCCATGGCATACGTGTTATTTTTTTGATCTTCTTCTATTGTCTACTCATCTCTACTCACCGATTTCTGTTATTTTACTCCTCAACTTGGGTCACCGTCTTCATCGATCCTCTTTACGTCACACAGTGTCGTACTGTTCTGTCGCGAAACTTCGATAGGTCATAACTTCCTCATGCAAAGTCAATATTTAGCCTTAGTAATCTACATGAAAATTGTAGAATACGTTAGACCGAGAGCGTGCATAAAAAAATCGTCTAAAGTTGACTTTGCATGAGGAAGTTATGATTTTTCGAAGTTTCGACTCAGCAATATGCAGCCCAAAGTTCGAATATGAGATCGAGTGATTTCTAGCCGAAACAATATAAAGGAAAATCGAAGATCTCGTCGATAGTAGTCTAATGGTGAAAAAACAAATGAAAACAAACGTCAGATGAAGGAGTTGTGAATTCCTAACGGAGTTTTTCTGTCTCGACCTACTAAAATACTATAATAAATGTTAAAATCAAAATTAGCCGACAGAGTCTAAACGAGAGTTGTAGAGCATAATCTCACCTACGCGTGCATATAAAGAACGTCGAAAACGGAGCTCGTATGCAAAAGATATGAATTTCTAAAGTTCAGGGCACGAATTTCCACCTATGTCAGAGCTCACGACGTGAGCACAGTGTTCACGACGTGAGTAGGTGATGAAAGCCTTCCAGAGCAAGTGGCTGAATAACGAACACAGTGACATACTGAGCTCACGACATGAGCAGTTGTGGCTCACGACGTGACCACAAAAATTCAGCCCTATAAATAGAAGTTGAAGGGCAGCCGGCCATGGTTGCTAATTCCTCACTCTCTCACTCCTGATACTCTCTCTAGCCGTCTTGAAGTACCCCCAAAGCCCCGGTATCATCCCGAGACCCAAAACGAGTCCCAAAGCCTTGAAGATCCCAAGAAGAAAAGAGTTTCGAGTCGAAGCTCTGCCCGCGAGAAGCCCGGTGTGTGAAGATATCCCAGATTCACCGAAGAATACTAAACTTAGAGCCGTAGTGCTGTCCGATAAACATCTTATCAAGTGAGTGCATAGTTCATTTCATATACACGATTTTAATACAAGTATTGATGAATGTATTAGATATATGATATGAGTAAGTGTGTAGTTGCTTTCTGATAATACACATATATGAATTATACTCTATGAAATATGTGTTATGTGATTATATACTATTTTTTATTTGGTATGCGTATTGAATGAATATGTTATACAGGTTTTAAGTTGTATATAAACAAGTATACTTTATCTACGAATATGTTGGGCAGAATATGGGTAGATAGTGATGTGTGATGAAATAAAAATGATGAGAGGCCTCGATGTGATTGTGATCTAGTCGTCCAACAGAATATGGATAATGACCACGGACTTTTCTAGACAGTTTAGTGGAACGTTGGTAGGCTCATAACCTGTAGGTGTAGTGAACTTGGGTGTTGATTTGTTGTATTCTATCCCCCTCATGGTTGGCTTAGGACATTCATAGCTGAGGAAACCCCTTTGCAGTAGTGTCCGCCCCATGAAAATCCTAGATTAGGTCCTTTGTAATAGTTGTTGTCATAGGGACGTAAAGTGAGGATAACGGTAATGGATAATCGGGTTGTTATTGGTTGGTGAAATTAAATATAATTATTTATTGTGGGTTGAAAACCCTATATGCTTACCAGACTCTCAAGCCTGACCCACTCAGTTTCTTTGTATTACAGGTAGTGGCGCGAGAGCATAAGTTGGAGAGCTTGTGAAGATATTTTTGTTTATAGACCAGTAGTTGTATGTAACTGTGTAAGGTCTATGTTTTATTGTTTATGAATTTGTGTCTGTATCGGAACATGACATCCCGAGTTTTAGTATAAAATGAAAATACATTTCTTAAAGAAATGTTTTGATAAACATTATTTTACCATATTGTTTTTTTTTGGAACAAATTTCGCAACCTTTTTAAATCAATGGATTTATTCTGAAATTATTTTAAAATCATAAATGAAACCGCTCTTTTCTGATCGTGATTTCGGGGATGTCACAACCACCGTCTCCACTGCCATCTCCGTTTCCTAGGGTTGTTCTGTCGTTCATTATTGATTTGGCCAGCGGGAGATTATTGATGGAGAGGTACTTAATCATACACACAATCTTACTACTTCCTATGATTTGTGTAGTGTTTTTTTCTCTCTGAATCTCATTTGACTGGTTTGTGATTTTGTGTGGAATATATGGGATACATTGTAGAAAGTGAGTTGTAATCATGCAGGTAGCTTTTATATTTTTGGGTCTAATATGTATAAAATTAAAGTATAGGGGCTTCTTTTAACCAAAAAATCAAGGGGGGGGGGGGGGGGGGGGGGGCTGTATAAAGCTCCGCCCTTGTTCGTTTATGTCCGTTTAGCGTGTTCACGGACACAAACAAACGAACATGAACAAAAAAACTCGTTTGTTTATCCGTCCGTATACGTTCTTTTGTTCGCCTAACTTAAACAAACGAACATGGACAAGTCTTTGTTCGTATTCGTTCGATTTATTTACAGTCTTAGTTGTAGCACAATTGACTAAGAGGTTGGTATGGGAGAGGGAGTGCCAGAGTTTTAGATCCCCTCTTCTCTTTTTTCTTTGTTTTTTTTAGGTCTGGAATTAATATATATATATATATATATATATATATATATATATATATATATATATATATATATATGTTCGGCAAGTTATAAGAATAAGATCCTTCTAACTTAGTGGTAAGAGGCATCCTTTGTGTGTAATAACCTCTCATTTTCCTTTGAAAAATTTTGATTTTTTCAAATAAATGATATGCCTTGACGTGGAATGCCAATAGGGGTAAGAAATGCAACACTTTACCGATTTTCATTGCTGTTTTTAAAACTGGTTTGAACCGGTTAGACCAGGAAACCGAAACAAAAGTGGTTCAACAATAGTCGGTTTTATGTCACGTTCTAGACTGGATTGAACCACACAATTTCTTCAGAAAGTGGGTTGAACCTATTTGATAGAACCAGTAAAAAAAACTATTTGAACCGGTTTATTGGACGTGGATAATTGAATTTCACATAACCTATTAATAAAACAGTCCAATTCCAAAGAAAATTAAATAGTTCAATCGATTAGGTTATCTGAAATATATACAAATCGAATGCCGACATACACCGGTCTAACCGGTCATTATACCGATTTAAGTAAACCTTTTTTTTAAAACATTGGTTTTCATGACTTTTTCATAATAAATAAATAAAATAAAATAAACAAAAAAAAAAGGACTAAAACCAAGGTTGTAAAAAACGTTCGGCGTTAGCTAATCGGTGGACTGGGGTCAAACGATTAATCGGCTAGACAGAGATTAATCGGGTGATTAATCAGGTATCATTAATTGCTAATTTGTTAAATTTTAAAAAATTAAATATGACTAATATCATATCAAATTTAGTAAATACCACTAATATGATATCAAAATAAATTAATATGATTAATACAACACTAATCATGCCTCAAATAGTTTTTATAGAGATAAAACTTCTTCAAAATGTTAAAATTTCATAATTTTATAATGTTTCCCTCATTATATATGTAGGGATTAATCGCTAGGGGTCCTCTAATCGGTCGAGTAGCGTCTAAGGACTAATCGGGACCTAGTCGGGATTTTTACAACACTGACTAAAACATAAACTATACCAAAATTTTAGAACTTTACTAGAGATTTCCTTTTTATAAATAATAATACTAAAGTAGAACGACTAAAACGAAAATTTTAAACAAGTTCAATAACTAATATTAATGATAGATTAAACAAAATCCAATGATTAAAATAAAACATCTAGAAAAATTCAATGACTAAAATGAAAATAAATAAATCGGTAACTAATGATAGTTTAAGCAAAGTAAAATAAAACAAACAGTTCGTTCGCTGAGTGAAAATGACCTAAACCAAAGAATAATTAACAAAGTTCTCAAATTTATTATCAACACGTTACATGATACAGTAGTTTGGGAGTAGGTTAGATTTGCCGGTTCAAAAAAAAAAAAAAAAAAATGATACAATAGTTATAATAATTTCCCTAAGAACATTGCTTCTAATGCATTTTCATTTTTCACCAAAAGAATGAAAAAGTAGGCAACCAGAAGAACTCTTTAAGCAAACAGACTAAATTGACACTATTATCCAAAACTACATAAAAACATATCATATAAAGTTACAACAAACTACATCATCTTGAATGATGCTAAACCAAAAATTTACAATAAATACCAATTTTTTTCTTCTTTTTAAAAAACACATACAGAATCGTGTAATGTTTATAAACTTTATAATAATAATTAATTAACCTTGAGGGGTGTTTTAAATGAATGATTTAAGGTGGAAAATCTGGCATGATGATTGATAGTGTTTTTCAGCTGCAGCTAATTCAAACTTCTTGATTGCTTCTTCATTCTCTTCTATTCTGCTTTGAACAAAAAACCGAATCCACCAAGAAGCAGTTCGTAGTTTCGCCTAATACAGAAAAGGGCAAATATGTCATTTATGTAAATAACTACATTTTTAAATGACGTCGAAGTTGTAAAAGGTTAGGATGTAAGGGGAAATGTGTGTTTCTTTTTAACTTAATAGACTTTAATATATTAAGCACTTAAATTGTACATATGTAGAACAGTTTTTAAACAAAAGGGTAAAATGGTCATTTACTCAAAATCAGACGAATCACTTCGTCCAAAGTGTTGTTTGTTTCTTTTTAAAGTAAATTACACGAATGGTCCTTATGGTTTGGGGTAATTTGCGTGCTTGGTCCCTAACTTATTTTTTTAACTCGGAAGGTCCTTATGGTTTGTTTTTGTTACGCGTTTGGTCCCTACTGTTTATTTTTGTTACGCGTTTGGTCCCTATCTTATCTAAAAAGACTATTATTTAAAGAGGAAAAAATGATGGAGTAGGTGAGGTAAGTTGAGGGGGTGGGATTAAGGGTGTTTATTTAAATAAATTAAAAAAATTAAGGGCATAATAGTCTTTTTAGGTAAGATATAGGGACCAAGCGTGTAACAAAAACAAACAGTAGGGACCTTCCGAGTTAAAAAAATAAGTTAGGGACCAAACGCGTAAATTACCCTAAACCATAGGGACCATTCGTGTAATTTACTCTTCTTTTTAATGTAATGGACTTAAGATATTAAGCTAATGAAGACATGCATATATACGGATGTTTCTAAACAAAAGGGTAAAACGGTCATTTACCAAAAATCTTGATTAAACAAAAGGGTAAAACGGTCATTTACACAAAATCAGACTAATCAATTCGTCCAACGCATTGTTTGTTTCTTTCTGACTTAATGAACTTAATATATTAAGCTAATGAAGACACACATATATATAGGGGTGTTTCTAAACAAAAGGGTAAAACGGTCATTTACCAAAAATCTTAATTATTCAAAAGGGTAAAATGGTCATTTACTCAAAATCAGACAAATCATTTCGTCCATCACGTTGTTTCTTTTTTTCTGACTTAATGGACTTAATATACTAAGCTAATGAAAACACACATATATACGGGTGTTTCTAAACAAAAGGGTAAACAGGTCATTTACTAAAAAAAACTTACAGGGCGTCCAAATTTCGACAGCTCAGCAACTTTCAAACTCCGTTGCCCAGGATAACCTAAATCCACAAAACAAAGTACAACAAATAATCATAACATTACAACATAACAAAAGGGTAAAATGGTCATTTACTAAAAAAAACTTACAGAAATACAATTTTACCTGAGAAAATAATAAATCCATCCGAAGAAACCCGAGCCAATTCCGGAAGTGTCTTATTGAGGTACTTTGGGGACAAATAATCCAATGCATCTGACACAATAACAAGTGAAAAAGATTTTGATCTATAAGGAAGAGAAAACTTGATATCAGCTACACGAACAATTCCTTTTCTTATAAGACTCTTGCAATTGGCATCACTATCATCCAAATCATATGGCTCCACACCCCATGCTTCTGTTTCTTTATCATCCCCTTCTTTTAACAAATTCCACACCACTGCACACGTGTCGGGGCCCACATGGAGGATTTTATGCATGCTCTCTCCATATGCTTTTTTCAGATATGGCAATGCTTGAAAGATTTCAGATGTGCATGATCCACCACCTTCATAAAACACAAGGAAATTGTTGTAAACAAATCTTGTGATGTGAAACAAATAATGTTCAGTTGTATAGTATCTTGAATGGTTTGTGTTTACCTTCAAGTCTATTAAAAGCAGCATTGTTTCCACCTGTCAAAATATAAGATTAGTTTTAGATTAGCATCCACAGGTTTAAGTAACTATAATTATGAATATTGATAATAACCTGAACCACTGTAAAGATACCCAATTATCAGAAAAGCCCCCTGAAAAAATCAAAGAATTTGAAACTGTATGTTTAGGAAAGGGAAATTAGGACAAATGGAGATTAGGGCAACATGAAGAAATGAGAATATGTTTATTCAAATGATTTACCAGTAGTACAAGCCCAATGGAAAGGAAAGGTGATGGGCGTGATTTTGGGTGTAAAGATCCCATAAATGGAATGCTAGCTCCATCTCTTCTAGATAAACCTGATGATGGTCTTCTCATTGTTATAGTTGTGATTGACCTGCATATCAAAATGGATTTAGTGTTCTCGAAAGTCACATGATCCCAATCAATTTTGGATCTTAGAACATTGATATCTGAATATACTGTTTTATCGTTGTTCGTATTTCAAAATTTCGAATGTTAGGGTTAATTCATTGTAGTTCCATAAGCAAAGAGTCCAATGCTGATGAATGTTGGGATTGAGCATAATTTTCCAATGCGATTAACTGTAATGTTAACTTCTATATAGCATACAATCAATCAATTCAAAGTATCAGTAAACTAAAAATAAGTCCTTAACGAAATCGTTCCGATCAAAAACAAAGAAATTGAATCTGTGAACTGTGTCAAAAACGTTACGTTGGAGGTTTAAATTTAAAAAAGAACGAATCAGCAGTTAATAGCCATGTAATAGACACATAGAAACTGCTTTGTTAGGTCTCGTGTGTGCGAAGAAGACAAAGAGAGATACCTTCAACTGAACAATGGAGAGAGCTTGGAGCTTCGGGATCTTTAGTTGAGCCTACCAGTGGTTCCGATCTGGATCTGTCTTTGTTTCAGTAAATGTAGAAAAAGGGGAAAGACTCTTGTGCGTTCATAGTGGCATATTTATGCTACTTTACCCTTATCCCTTCCCTCCGCTGCCACCTCGGGGCTGGGTTTAAAGAACTACAACAAAAAATCAATAATAAATAAACAAATAAAGAATATTAGCGAGAGAAAACAACAATAATAGCCGTCTTTTAAAACAGAGTAACCTGTAGAATTGGTGCTTGTGATTTACCAAAAACTATGGACACTTGAACTCGGTTTAAAAAGTTTTGGTCCAAAATCAAATTATATTTTTATTTTAATATTTTATCAATTAAAAATAAAAATAAAAGAATGGACATCCTCTCTCTCTCTCTCTCTAGACCTGACAATGGGGCGGGTTTGAAGCGAATCGACCTTAATCCAAACCTTTTTAACAAATTTCAAAATCCGATCCAAACTCGCTCCGGAACCTGCAGGGTTTTGAATAATCAAACTCATACCCTTATCCACCGAATCAGCAGATATCCAAACCCGCCCCGTAACTCGTAGGTTTTTTGAATAATCAAACACATTTTACTTAAATCATAAAATCAAATTTATAAATAAAACTAAGTTTTGATTTAGAAAACACATTATGTACTCGAGGACTTTCTATTGAAATTAAAATCATTATTTTAGTTACTTCCAATCGATTTTTGATCGTCGATTGCATTGATAGAGAATAGCAATTACAAAATTTCTTTCAGTTGATAAATGACCTTATTGATTTATAAATGAAATTGGTGATTACATGATGAAATATAAATGAATTGAAATCATGACTCTTGGGAGAAGACTGGAAGTCTAGAAGTTGAGTCCTCGAATCCTATGTAAAAACAATTTAGTCTTTGGGCTTTTCTCTTTGAACTTCTGATTGGAATTTAATGTAAACTTTATGTAATATAAAATATAAATTTATATTTCTAAAATTTATATGGGGCGGGTTATAAACGGAGCGGATCGATGATGATCCATACCCGACCCTTTTAATAAAAGGGTTAGCGGGTACGGGTCATTAACGGGTAAACGGATCAAAAACTATGCTTCAAACCCATATAATTGTTAAGGGTTTGGATCGGATCAGGGTCAAAACCCTCTCCATTGCCAGGCCTATCTCTCTCTCTCTCTCTCATGGATTATATGATTTTGCATTTCATCCTCTTTTGAAAAACACTAAACGCTGCTCACCATGATGATTTCCATCAACCTAATTACATTGTAGCTTCCATCAACCTAATTTGAATAAAGATGGAGAAAACATGGTGGGAAAAATATACTCGTTGAGTTGAGACAACTCAATGATATGTTAATTCCACCATCACTAGGATCAGATGCCCACGAACCCACTATAATCTCAGCCCTACCTCCAGATGCTTCCAACATCGTACAATCTCATTAAGGAGCTTAATGAGACACACATCTGGCCTTCTATATGGATTTGGGGAAATCGAAATTGAGTCAATTAGGTCTTGGAATCGAAATCATAGGGCTCGGTGATAAGAGAGTCGTTTGAAGCAAAATGTTTCGGGGGAGATGAGAGTTACCAGATTCTAGGTTCAGAATCACAGAACGTTTTCGATTTAAGCATGAGGCGTATGTTATGAGAGTTACCAGATTCTAAATTTGTTCATGTGATTAATCAATATGGGTGTCTTGGTCAAGAAGATGATAGGAGAGACATGGGAGTCTTACCCTTCAATCGTAGGTTAGAGGTCCAAGTGAACCTATATGAATCGATTCAACATGGGTCTTGTTAAATTATGGGCTTGACTTCTATAGATATTGCAAATATAGGGCTTGTAAATTTAAGATTCAAAATGCAACTTGATTGTAGAGTGTTTGTATGTGTGTTCATCGGTGTATATGAGTGTTGAATTAGTAAGATGACGATAGAGAAATAGAGAAAGGGAGTGAAAGGGACGCAAGAGTGAGTGAATAAGATGATGCAGGTAGAAGTAAGATTTTACAGGTGAAAGGGAGAAGGGATGATTGCAAGGATGATGTTGGAGTTTTGGTGCTCATCAAAGTTTTGTTGTTTGTTGGAAATACTGGTTTATAACAAAGCACATACCCACACACATTTTTTGTTCTGAAATTGTTCTTGATTTGCAAGTTGTGTATAAGAGAGAAAAAGAGAGGGATGTAGAGAAAGTCAAATGGAAAGAACAAAGGGGAAGAACGACGGGTTGGGGACGTTCTTTTTCTATTTAATTAAAAAAGTATTAAAGTAAAAATAAGGAAATAAAGAAAAGAAACTAAAAGGCAAGATGGACATTTTAACTTTTTTAGGACCAAAATCATAGGAAATTCTTGATTTTGGACCTTTCATGCAATTTGGAAACTTTTTGGACCATACCAACAATTTTTATCGAACCATAGGGACCAATTTTGCAGTTTTATCTTTAAAAAAATTCTATTATTCTTTTCAAAATTGGTTAAAATATGCCGGTCCAGTTGATTCGACTGAGAATTACGAAAAAAAATGCAGTTTAGTTACCACATGTTTTATATCTTTTTCTTGATCGATTGTTCGACTTTTATAAAAACTCAGTTAAACCAATTAAATATAACAGTTGAAAAAAAAATCATTGATTTGTAATAGTTTAGGATGTCTTAACCGATACAAAATATAAGTATCAACAGGTCTTATAGTATCTTAAACTAACAGTCTACATCTCCTTGAATCTCCCATAATGTATGTATCTTTGTACTGCTACTTATGATATAAAGAAACTAAGATGTTGTTTGTTTTTTCTGAGGCAAAATATCTGCAGTCTGCAGACCACATCTGTAGACCTCTGCAGTAAAAGAGGTGGACCAAACGTCTGCAGTCTGAAAAAAAAAAGATTGTTTGTTTTTTTAACATCTGCGGACTACTAAAATAAACTGAAATCTAAATAAACTGATTTTTTTAAACATCAAAGTGATTTTTTAATATTTTTATGACTTTGTTATAAATAATTAACGAATCTAGATAAACTTTTATGTATTATTGTATAAAAATAAAAATAAAAATGATATGAATTAACGTATATATTTGATAAAAACCAACAACTTTGGTTGCACAGTTATAACTAAACATTATAATTAGTGATAAAAGAATTTGATATATAAATTGATGGAAATAAACTTCGATTTTTTCAATTAAATCCATTAAAAATGTACCATAAATATTTTCTCCGATACTGTATTAAATAATGTTTTACAAAATTTGGCAAGAAAATATAAGAATATATTATGATTTTTTTCATATTTATATAAACAACTTCAACAACTATTATTGTAATAAATCTTTATTTATAAAATTGTCAAAAATATCATGTTTGTATCGTCGAACGTTTTTTTTTAAGGTTTTTTTTCAAGTTGTTTATCATTAATAAAGTTGGAAAAAATATAAATTTTAAAAAAAACTTTAAAAAAATAAAGATATATATGTTTTTTTATGCTAGAAGATGTATGAAGATGTTAGAAGACTCTGGTCCACATCTGCGTCAAGAAGAGGGCACGCAGACATTTTTAGGTCTGCAGTCTTCAAAAAACAAACAGTTTACGAAGGTTAATGTCTGCGTGTGGTCTGCGCGACGTAGACAGAAGAGGTCACACAGATTTGCAGACAAAAAACAAACACTACCTAAGTAGGTCAGGTTGATAAACTTGGTGGGTACATAGGGATTTCAATCCCATAATGTTATAATTAATATATATATATATATATATATATATATATATATATATATATATATATATATATATATATATATATATATATATATATATATTGACATACACACACACTACAAATTAAACCAATTGTTACCAAACAATATATAGATGAGTCTTCGACTTGGATATCTATAAACCCTCATACTTAAACATACCCACCCCAATCGATTATCACATATCCTAATCTAGGATTATCAGGAAAATTTATCCCCGCCTGATGAATCGTTTAAACGAATCAAGTGTTTGTCATCTAGAAGATGAACAGACATACATTTACAGTTGCCTAATTTGGACCCACCATTTCTGGTCATCCAAAAGAATATGCAGATATACCACTATAGTTGCCTGATTTAGACCCACCATTTCTAGCCATTACAAAGAAAACCGTTTACTCCAAAATACATTTAGTGAAAATCAAAGTAATATCAGAAATGTGAAATCCCTAATGTTGTTGATGAGTGTGTATAGTCCCTCCTTCGCTTCCCACGATCACCGATAAAACCTGAAAAACATAAACTACTGTGTAAGCACAAAATTTAGTGAGTATCACCCAAAATACCCTAAAACGATAAACATACAAGCATGCATATGTCGACACATAAACAATCAAGAATCAAGTAGGCACATAAGATAGGTAAACATCAATCATACAACTCACTACCACCTACTAGTCCTCTCAGAGCACACTGTCTCGCTACCAGCTAACCTCCATGAAATGTGTAACCATAAGTAACCGGATGTGAGATAGCCACCCGAACATATGATCTTACTATTGGATTAGTGTCTAAGCTCGTAACTATATTTGGTAAGTACTTGACCCGATCGTGCATGGTCCTTTTGGGTTGCCTTCACCAAAGCAACATAATAGGATGATTTGTGAATAAAGAGGTTATTATGATTTATTAATATGTTATATGAATAATATACTAATGGAGAAATCATATAATTAAAATAATATTACACAAGAATTAATTAAGAAATTAAATTTGTGGCTAAAAGAAAATAATTTAATGACAGGGACTTAAACTGTCAAATGTATGACAGCTAAGTATTGGGCTGAGGAGTCTCTTGGACTAGGCTTGGATGAAATTAGGATGTGTCTATCCCTAATTTCGGCTCTAAGGCCTTATTCCAAAAGCTTCCTTGGATAGTTTAAGGCCTAAGCAATCCATTAGGTTTTTTTTACTTAAACCCTAACAGCTACAGTATAAATAGGACCCTAAGGTTCCAGAATTCGGCCTACCCTATTCCTAAGAGCTATAGAGCCGAATTCAAGAAGCCTCCAACCTCTCTCCAAGATCATTCTTTTGATATTGGTGTTTGTAAGCCATCAGGGGAGTGACACTTGTGACTCTAAGCTTCAAAGACAAGAATATTTAAGAAAGCAACAAGAGGTAATGATCTAGATCTGATTTGTTTATTGTAGTTTCAAGTCCTTCTCATTAGATCTATGGTTTCTAAGGCTTGGATGATTGCATGTACAATTAGTGAAACTTAGATCCAAGCATTAGGGTTTGCACGAGCACATAGGATGTTCTTTTGGCTCAAACCCCTCAGTGGTATCAGAGCTTTGATTGGTTTCAATTGTATTTGATGCTAATATGTTCATTCATTGCTTGATAAGAAATTTTCTTTAAAATGAAAATTTAACCCACAAAAGTCAAAAGTTTACAAATTTAGCCCATTAAACCGTAAAGGTCAAATTTTAAGCCCATTTTGTGAAAATTAACACTTTTAGCCCTTTTAAAACCATAAATATCTTTAAGACCCATTTTTATATAAAAATGACTCTTTTGGTCCTTGAGAAGCCATGAATGCCCTAAAGGCTTCACCTTTTTGTTTATTTGTCCAAAAATGGCCCTTGAAACGGTTTTACTTAGTTTTCAAACATCCCTATCATGTTTAATCCTTTCATCTTCATGATAAGTTGCATAGAGTGTTTTGATTTACAAACATCACCAAGTTTTAGTAGATCTTTCGAAATTAATGAAGTCTCGACACATAGTCTAAACATATAACATAGAAACACACATAATCATGCATAAACACATCGATCTAACATAAAGCGACCTGTATCCTCCCCAAAAACATAATAAAAACCGAAAATAGGGGATATGAACTCACTTTGGGGCGATGGATCGGTTGTTGAAGAAATGAAGAAGGTGTTTTCGGCCTAGCTTACTCCTTGGATGAGATCTTCGAAATCTAGGTGATTTCAAGAGAATGAATCACGAATTAGAGTGTTAATGAGTGAAGATCTGTCTTATGATGAAGTTAAACACTTGAATATGGAGTATCTTATCAAAATGATGAACCTTGATGAAGTATTCTTGAACACACACACAAGCACACACAAAAGTTTAGAAGAAAAGTAAGAATTCTTGAGGATTTAGAGAGGTGTCTTAGTGTGTTTGGAAGTTTGAATGGAGAGTGGAGAATTTTCTCCTTGGCCGAGAATAAAAAGAAGAAGAAAGGGAGAGAATGGGATGGTTATTACATGAAGGTTTAGTGTATTTAACCTTGGAAACATGTGAGGTAATTGCATCGATTACCTATGAATAAAGATTAGGTGTCAAGGTCTTGGATCTTATGAAATTTTTTATCACAAAAACGAGAATGAGAGGGGAGAAAGGAGAAAAGAATAAGTGTTGGTTCCATTT